TCAAGCAAGACCTATTTCAGGTGAGGAGGGAAGGCGACACGTACTTCCAGCAATTTCGAACCGCCTGGAATTGAAGAGCTACTTGTGAACTCCGCAACTTTGTACTTGTGATCAAGAGAATAATCATTGTTAGTTAATCAGCTAGTTTTGTTGGTTGCTTTGAAGGAGCGATTTTTTGGTTCCCAGTATTTCTCAAAATCGAGGTATGCGTGCTAATCAAAGGCAGTAGGCACGATAATTTCGTTCTCTGTACAAGACGGGAGCAGACGCACCCTGCAGTACGACAGTAAGGCGAAGACGGGACGAAACAGCCTATAACGCCCAAAATGAAGCCTTTATTAACCGCTCCAATGCGGAAGTTTACGAGTCTACATACGTCTGATGGTGAGATAAATCATCGCTGGTCCAAGATCTATGTAAAAAAAGTCACGATGACTGCAAAAAAATATGAAAACACATTATTTCGAGCAGTGGCAAATCTCACGACAGTAACAACAGGGGTCTTTAACAGGACCAGGGACATACTAATGACATTTTCACGGAACGGCTGCCGAAGATTCGCGGTAATCGTGTGACAAAAGCCAAAAAGTAGAACAAGTCTGAAACTCTAAAACAGGCACTGCTTTCAAGGAAACCTCGTACTCTTCCAAATAAAGACTCAGTTTTCTTTCCAATAAGACCTACCTCGTCAGAAAAAGCTCTGAAGAAGGCAAAAAAGCACAAATCAGCCGCATATTGTGGGTAAAAACCGCTGATCTGATCGTGATCAATCGCTGCTCGGTGCGGCCGTTTGTGGTGTGTCGTTGTTCGAAGAAGTACGGATTGGTATACTAAGCCTTGTTGGGATGCTCACGTTTCATTGTAAAAGACATCATGTAAGACTTTTCGCAAGGGCGCGAAATTCTTCGGTGATTGGCGTGTTCATCTTACATGCCGAGAGGATTTATCGCGCCCTTTGCCTTCAAAGGCATATGGCACAATAATTTGGTACTAGGTTCCAAATACTAGAAGGTTGCTATATAGTGGGAGAATGGCGAAAATGAAGTAAAATGGTCAAAAACCTGCCAAGAAAAGCTTCCGTTCTTTCTGCTCAAAACCCAATTTAGGACGAGTTTCCCTTAGGCATTTTGCCAATATCCGCTGCGGCAAATAAGACTGCACGTATGTACTCATACATCCATGCAACACCGCCGCTTCATATCAATCCCTTCGTTTCATATTTTACTTTGCAAATGAAGCAACACGAGCATCAGGTACGGTAGTCCATTTGTGGTCAGGCGGCGCTGTGGGCGTTCTGGTCGGTATGTTGCAGCTTGATAGGGCCTTATAAGGGTACCGGGTAGGCAGAGTAGGATAAATACGACTGCTAGGAATTCCCTCCTGCCAGTCTTATTTATCCTACTCGTCTTAGAGATTTATCGTGCTGACTGCCTATAAGGGCTGCTTATCAAAAGCTGGTGATAAATCTTCGAGTGGTTAATAAAAATTTCGGGAACTGGTAATAGAAATACTATGCGTAACACCCCACATAAATGATGCGCGGAAGCAGGCCAAAGAACTGGTTTCGTTGCTGCAGATCCTTCTGCTTAAAAATAACTGAAGGCCAGAGGAGCTGTAGAATCACTACTACATATTATAACATCTGGTGCTCTTTGAGGACGAACCTTCGGCTCCCTTGAAACTCGAAGGTTCCGCAGGTAATGAACGATATGTGATCAAGATCACAGAATTTTAGAGGGTCCTAATAAAGTTGCAAATGAATCCCTAAGTGACTAACAAAATTCCAAATGCCAATGAAATCACAGTTTCAGTGAAATCGTATACACTAGTTCGCTGCGGAGGGGCATGTCTGCAGTACAAATGTGCCACGCGCCAAACAGAATCTTTAGAGGGTAGGTTATGAGGATTGAATCAGATGGTGCAAATAATAATATTTTACTCGTAGTATCATCATGAATTAATCGTCCTTCCTTTTGGATCGCTTCGGATTTTTACTTCGACTTCTCGTTTTGCACATGGGGCATGTGGGAGCGTTCCGATGAATTTGCGCTCCACAACTTTCACACGTCTGAAATCATTTTACCATTAGTACTTAGTCAATAAGCAACGAATTTGGGGCAGTTCGGAACGGGGGGGCATTTTGCACTTTTGCCTCTTCCCATCGACTTGTCGACCAGTCTTGTGAGCCTTTCCTTTGGCTTACAGTAGACAGGTTCTACCATGGTGACTAGACGAACTTGCTTTAGATTCACGAGATTCCACAGGTTTCATCAGAGTGGGATTTGTAACCCGGAACTAGTGGAACAGCGAACGTGCAAAATGCCCCCCCCCCACTTTGCCGAACTGCGCCACAAACTGAAGTATTACTTTTGCTGGAGTATTCCAACTCCTTGATATTTGAGCATCCACTGACCTTCATTTTATTCACATCTTGCATGGGCGCCTTTGTCACCATTGGCAATGCCGACGTCCAGGGAAATTGAGATCCAAGAAATGATAATGATGCGATTGGATGTCTCACAGGAGTATGAACAAGCAAGCTAAAAGAAAGTGAATCAATCAAAGTAACGGTCCGTTCTACCCAGCAGGACTAACCATTCTAACAGCTCCTTCGGTATACCATCATACTCCTCAAAAGAAATATTGATAATGTCAGCAGCCTGAAAAGCATGACTAACAGAGCACCTAGAAATGATCGTTGGCTAGAAATCTGTTCGGCGCAGCTTGGCTTAATTGTGGGAAAGGGGGCATTTTATGAGTTCGAGCTCCTTTTCTGCTACCATATTGCACGCGTTTCATTTACAAACTACTTTGGCGCAGGTTGGTCCAGCCTGTGTTCCTCGTCCTTTAACTGACTTTAGAATACCTACGTACTCTTCTCAAAGACTCCTGATATTTGCCACACGCTGTCGGATGTTGGTATCGAGGCAAGTGCTGCACCTTGAGGAAAGTAAGGTGCGGAGTATGGAGATGGCTCTCGGGCACCACTACACTCCTCTTCGCCCCTCCCACACACGCACACAACCCTTTTTCTGTGCACTT